ACGTTCGATAATTAGAAGCGAAGCGCGACGCGCCACCGAAAGTTCGCTCTCGAGTTTCTCACCCTTCTTCCAGTCGGCGCGGAAGAACGGCGGGAGGGGGACAGATGGAAAAAAGGAATTCGACGCAAAAAGGGCATCTCGTTTGCGGCCGACGAGGCATGGAGACCGTGATTCGCTGCCTGGCTGACGCCATATGGTGTGCAAACCGAGAGGCTACTAGTCGATCACCGTTTCGCATTACGCAAACGAACGAGCCGCCCGCGTCATTCTGCCGGTCGTTCTGGCCGTAAGTGCCATAAATCCACATAAGCAGAAAGGACGGCCGGAACGATCGCGAGTAACGGTCCAACTTCTAATTAGATCGCTTCTGCGTTCGTTTGCTACAATGCATTTTTTTTTGCGTGGATTAGAAATGGAAATAAAATATTTTGATCGGACTCTTCGGTCTCATCTGTTTTTCGTTTTACAAAAAGTTAGCCTTCATGCTTTCTATACAGGGTGTCCCAGGAGGAAAGGTCAATATTCTGGGAGGTAATAGTATCGGTCATTTTAAGCAAAACTGTTCATATGAATATATGTCCCATTCCCCACTGTTTCCGAGATAGAGCTACTTGAATGTCTCGTGTATTTACTCTTTTTCTGTACACTTCACCCTTCGTCCAACCTCATAAACGTCTGCGGGAATTTACTCTTACACGTCTGTTGACTGTTGTGCCGAGAACATTGTAAAAATGTTAAAAATTCATATGAACATTTTTGTTTAAAATGACTGATACTATCACCTCCCAGAATATTGACCTTTCCTCCTGGGACACCCCGTATAAACTTTTATTAATATTGTCAAATTTATGTAGGACGCACTAAGAAAAATGTCCGATTAAGTATAATCGAATAACCCAATAATATAATAACAAACGGATATATCCGATGAAAAATATGATCGGGTTTTCCACCAAATTTCATCGGTAACTGCATTTCATCGGACAACGTAATTAACCATCGGAAACACTGTTTAATCGGTTTATCCGATGAAGATTTTTCTCAGTGTGGAAATCGAGAATAATCGAAGTTGGCTACTATCACGAATTTATTTATTTATTTAACGCGGACTATTATTAGCTACTCCCTCGCACCGGGTCGGCGCTTGCTTCTTAAAATCTAAACATATACGTATATACGCATACTCTTAAAAGCCTCTTTCGGCAGCCTCGGTTAGATTAACCGATGGTTAAAATTTGCAGGGTGCCATCAAGATAATCGCCTTCATCTCTATTTTCTGTTGGCACCCTGCAAATTTTAACCGTCGGTTAACTAGCCGAGGTTGGTGAAAAAGGCCTTAAGCGCGTTTGCTTCTAATTTCGGAAGAAAAAGGTCACAATCCGTCCACTGAGAAAAATTTTCATCGGATAAACCAATTAAATAGCGTGTCCGAGGGTTAATTTTTCCGATTACGTTTTCCGATTAAATTATGGATACATCCGATAAAATTGGATTGAAAAACCGATCATATTTTTTATCGGATATATCCGTTTGATATTATGCAATTGGATTATCCGATTATATTTAATCAAACATGTTTCTCAGTGTAGAAATTACCATAATACTGCATGTGTTTTGTTTGCTATTCCATTAACGTGAATGTATAATATTTCAAAGTTGATTATACTGAGTGGATTATTTTAAGAATCCGGCCATCCATCATTCCAAGACTCGTTCTGAACTGTCCAAGAATCTCTCACCTCATCGGTCCGTACAACGACGGATCTGTAGGTCCACAGTACGCCGCATTTGCAAATTTCAACTGTCTCAAATCGTGTAAGATATCAATATTCTTCCGCGAATCCAATTTCTGCGATAAGATTAGAAACTGGACGACAGGAAAAGCGAAAGAAAGATGAGAAGGTGAGAAAAGGAGAGCTTCTCTTTCCCATGGTCCATTCTGAGAAGTAAAAGAGAGAAAGCAAGAGGGAGAAAGATAGTGACGGGGGCGGGGGGTGCCTCTCAATGGCCGTAAAAGCCAAATCATAATCGCGGTATCATTAACGAAGTCGTGCGAAAGAAGTAATTAAAGCGCGCGGCTCGTGTTCCTCATGAACCCGAACCCCGGCTGGTTCTTTCTCGGCTCGAGTTAACGGCTCCTTCTCTCTCGCGGGGTTTTGCCGCACAGCTCCCGACTGCGCCACGTCATTCCGGCGCAGCGTCATGACACCGAGCACATCGAGCGCAGAAGGGACACGCCGCAGGAACGCCTCTACCTGCGCGCCGCAAAAAGTGGATCTGCCGCGCCGGTGGAAAGACTCGTCGGCGCCTCTTTCTCTCCCTCGTTTCTTGTATCATCGCTACTTACTTGTTAATCAAATCGCGGGGAGAATTTCAAGATTATTTCTGCGTGCTAAGAAGCGGTAAGATTAATGTACGATCGCGTCAGCTTGCGGCCGGCAAATTATAGTTTATCTCTCCTACGGGCGAGAAATAATTTTCGGAACGTGCATATGTAAGTTTATATTTATATTTACATTGTGCATATCTATTACTTATGATAACAATTTTAATTGTCGCTTTAATATTCATTATTAAATTGTTATGGGTGTCAACCAGTTTTTGCTGGAAGTTCTTGGCCGTCGTGAGAGTAATATTTTTTCATGTCAACTTTTTATGTATGCATATTTATGTCGATAGAAAAGTATTGGCCGTTAAAAAATTTAATGCCTTAAGAGAAGCAACCTTTAAATATTTATGGCATTTCCCAAAATGATTAATCGTTTATTCTTATCCGGAAGGCAATGTCGAACAAGAACGCTCACGAGAATCCGTAAGTATACATCTCCGCGTAATGAAAATGAGCTGTCGCGGCGCTAAGAACATAAAGCACTTAAGGGGATCCTAAAGCCGTCTGTTTTATCGACATTCTTTGTTACAAGTAATTTTTTAATTGGCTTTATAGAAATGCAAAACTCTTTTACGGAATTAAAGTACGCAACAAAATCTAGACTATGCTGGTCGACTTTATGTCAAAAACGAAAAAGAGTTAAAAATTTTAAAACGTTTTTAATTCCGCCTCCTATCTTATCGACCCTGATCGAGTTCGCCAGTAGCTTCAGGATCCCCTTAACCGTGAGTAATTTTTCTTCGTACCCTAGATACATTTTTAACTATCTAAATGTGCATTTTGTATCCTGACCACTTGTATTACCCAGACGCGGAGAAATAAAAGAAAATAAGAGATATCTTCTATATCCCATGTCGACCGGCTGGAAGGTGGATCGTATCTTCGACACGGCGCGCTTCGACATCTCGTTTCGCGTCCGCGATGATAAAGGGCCCCGAGGGTGGGAGGAGGAGGAGGAGGTTAGGGCCCCACGATGGGGCCCGTTCCTCGTCGACCCTCTACCTTCCTCCCTCCGCCCTTCGTTCTTGTTCCTGCGCACAGTAGCCGAGAGACGAGGCTACCTCTGAGTTTGGCTCGGAACTGCATTCCGTAGCTGACTCCGCTCGAGTCGCGTTGCATTCACCGCCATTGGCGCCACACGCACATTTCTCGGCGTCGCCCTTTCGCACACGCACGTTCCTGCGTACAGGCATGCATCCACAGCGCGTTCACAACGTCGGCGCGTGCGGACGCGTGAGCGAGAATACGCGGGACCATAAGACTACGTCCACGTAACGTGATTGGTTCGCGCGTGTCATCGCAGCTACCAGGGTTTCGCGGCCTCGCATTATGAGACGTGTCTCTAATTTCGTACTTTGCCGTTCTCTCCTTTCTCTTTGCTCTCTCGTACAATCGCAACTCAAAATACAGGTGCACATGCCTCAGTGGTCGAATTGGTGAGACACCCTAGAGAGTAGGGAAGTCCCGGTTTAAACCCTGGCTACCTTGGGGTCTCTTCCTGAAGTAATGCCTTTGCAGGTAGCCCCGGGAAGAGGCCCTTTTGTGCAGTTGTCGGTCCTTAAGATAGGGGTTTTTAGCCGGTAGTCCCGCTTCTCTGGTTAGTCCGGCATATTCACAGGGTACGGCGCCCTGTGTTGAATGCGTAAATGCATTTTCCCCTACTCTCGGAGAAAAAAAGGTTCAAACCTTGGCTGAGGTAATCTTTTTCGCAATAAAGTTACTGTATTATTAAAAATGCCTGATATGGTCAATAAAAATACTGAAGTTGTCAAATGCAGGTGTTTCGGATTGCCTACACGAAGACAGTGTTCTCGTAAAATTTACTCTGACAATTATGCAATTGCGGGACAACGTGGCATTTTGAAGAATTTTACAAGAGTCTTTATAAATTTTACCATACATTTTACTGGTAAACGTTCTTGAAAATGCCACGTTGTCCCGCAATTACATGATTTTCAGGGTGAATTTTAAGAAAAAATTATCTCCGTGCATCTGACAAACAGATACATCTCTTTCGGAACAGTTATGAAACGAGCCAAATGACAAAGTGACTAAAAGACGACGTGGTAATATCTAGTAGATCAACTATCATTATGTCAACTTTCAACGTCACTTTGCTACTTGATAGATAGATAACTTGATTTTAAAAAATATATACTTTCTCTATCGCTCTACGATTATCAACAAATTGCTCTCTATTATAATACATCAATTATTACCTAACTTTCCATACACGTGCTAGTTATCGTTGATTAATTTTCCACGGATACGCGAGAAGTGTTTACTCCTTTGACATTTTATTCAAACCTAGAGATCGAACTTAAATTTTGTAGTCGCATCACAATTTCCACTTGGACGAAAACTACGTTTCTTTGACTTCATCGACAGTTTCGACAGCACGTGGCGTACGGCTCGCGCGCGTATTCCGGGTTTCGCGCTACCGGCTCATGAATAATAAAGCCAAGCCCGAGCGAGCGAGCGCTCGCGAACTCGCGTCGATGACTCATTCCCGAGGACGCGACGAAGAAGGAAGAGGAGGCATACACCCACGCGACGCTTTCTCACCCTCGCCCTCGCACAAAAAATAAGAACTGTCCTCGCGTGCGCGCGAATGGAGATACATCGAATTAAGATACGACCAAGTGCCGGGGACAGGTGTCGCCTGGCGAGTGACCTCTTTCGAGGAATCGGGTCGTCGCACGCGGTTCCCCGGATGGAAGCGCGACGTCGACGAGACGGGGAACGTCGGCGATCGCGCGCGCGCGCGCGCGCGCGGCAAAAGGGACGGGGGGGAGTGAAAGAGTAAAACGCATTCTGTACTCCGCACACCGCGACGAAGGATGTCGCCGATGCTGTACTTCCTCCCTTCCGAGTAAGTCCGTGTTCCTAGGATTCATTCTGTTCTCCGATCCGCCTCGAACCGACCCGACAAACGTGCGCTGCGCCCGCATGCGATGCATAATAATGCAACACGAGCGCGGTTACACCGGGACTGTCCACCTACCCACCTACCTACGCTCAGCTATCTAACTATCTACTTATCTATCTGCCAACCCCCGCATTCCCGAGGCGGAGAGCTTCACGCCCGTGTTTCGGGGAACGCTTCGCTCCGTTCGGACTTGACGATAGCGAGGCGCCCGTCTGTAAAGAGTGACCTCTACAGATACGACTCGTAAATAATTAAAATAAAAGTCTCTGTGTCAATCAGTCGTAATTGTCGTGCTGATACAATGCTCTTTGTAAGCCCCAATCTACAGTAGGTGATTTAAATGCTAAGCCTTAAGAAATTGACCAATCAGAGTCGAAAATGAGAAGAGTACTTGAGTGTTGGTCGAATTTCGTAGGGCTCAGGACTCGAATCATCCATCCATAGACTGAGACTGATGAAAACTTTGCAGAGGCAAACTGAGAGATGAGCGAGCCAGCAGTGGGGAAAATACGTGTTTCGATCTCAGTTTCGCTTAAGCGCAAACTTTATTCTCAATCGAGAAAAGCGGGTGGGACATAAAATGTACAATCTCTTCCCTTCTCTCCTCTGTTATAAAACTCCGTCTCTGTACGTGACGCAAGATGGATCGCGACTAATGGCGCCCAATTGGCTCATTGGTCAGAATTAATTCGACGTCGCCGGCATCGACCCATACTTCATCCCGAGCCATTGTTGTTGCTCGCGCGCAGATGTCCGGTGCCAGGGAGAAATATCCGCGGCGTCGGATTCGTGCCACAGTGTCACCCGAACGGCGAATACCGCGAATGTCCGGCCAGTGTGGCGCCAGACACACGCCGGTAACTTTATCTCGTACGTCTAAGTACGGCACTGGTGAGGCACCGACATACCCGGTCACGACTCAACGACTCAGGCCCACCGAATATATTTATACGATAGGAGACACGGAGGGCAGGCGGGGGAGAGGGGGGGAGGAGCGAGGTGGCGGAGCACGGGGGAGGAGAGGGTACATCTGTTTCCATCCGGGCACGTGTCTACGGAATTAGAACGTTTCGAGGGAGACGAATACGCGCGGGAGAAAAGACTTCGCGCGGACGACAAGCCGGACTGAGAATACCCAGCCGTGGCCCGCAGCCGCTGGACCGACGGATTCTAGGATGCCTCGCGGTCAGCTGGCGCGAAATAACAACGCGGCCGGCAAGCGCACTTGTCTCGGCAATAGTGCTCCGCGTTGTAAAGTGGCGCCCATTTGTTAACCTTTCGTTTCCACTCTTGGGTGTCTGGATGTCTTCGATGCTCCTAACTCCGATACAGCGCGATTATGTAAGGCGCATTTTTTCATTGAAAAGAATATGAAAGATATATTTGGCGTTAGACGCTACCGCGTTTCTAGATTCTGGACGCGATGAAATGTCACAGCTGACGTGAGGTGAAAGGAATTGAAAATTCTAATACGAAAATTGGAGCAACGAATTAAGACTACGAACTGTAAGCGCAGTGCCCTTAAGAAATAGAACTGATTAGCAGCGTCAGTAACTGATAACGTTGAATCAGTAACTTGTGGCGTTCCGTCAGCGACTGATTACGAGAGTCAAGCGTCTCGGTCACCAAAGTGGCCGTTCATGAATTGTTTTAGTAATTTAGAAGTGGCTTTCCCTTCCCGAAATATTCGACGAATAAACGTCGCGGGCGTTAATTTCCCTAGGTTGACGCGAACCGCCGCCCTTTGACGAAGGGTGTCGCGCGTAATCCGAGACGAATGCGTTCGTTTTCATCGCGCCGACCACAGCCAACGGCGGGAAACGACATCGCGGCGGGCCGACGCGATCGAGATAGCGCGGAATTCGCGAGGCGACGCGGCTCCGGTACGTGTCAAGGGGGTGACAGGGATGCCAGCTGGACGTCGGCGCCGTGGCGTCGTCGGCGATCCGGCGTCCTTGTTTTGTGAGTCGCGGCGACGCGTCATGGTCGTCGCAGTTGTCGCTGTGCGACACTTCGCGCATGACCACGCGACCAGACGAATGCGTGCAGGTGTTCCGCGGGTGGAGCAGAAATGGTCCTAGAGTTTCTAGCGTTGTGGATATATAATTAGAGCATCTCGAGGCGCTCGGCGAGGATGCCAGCTTTGAGTCTCTGACAAATGTCCCGCAACTGACGCGGCGCTCTCGACATCAAACAGGAATGTATTACAGAAACTGCCCGAAAAAGAGGCAAACAGAAAAGGATTGTGGACTACACGATTTTACGACTATTAAAGTACCTGTAAGATCGAAAAGCTCTAAGATCTGAAATTAAAATTCTTTCAAAATTAATAGAGAAAAGTCCCCTATTGGGCTTCTAATGTGAGACAGCAGGTTCTCGACACCCAAATTAAATCTTTTCTAACAATGAATTTTCCACCTAAAGAATTTCCACACAGATTTCACTCCAATGGCACCAAATCCGAACCAACAGGCGATGCATATTAATTTCTTATTTAGTAGCAACCCCGCTGTCTCATATTAGGAACTTGTCTTATAATAGGATACTTTTCTTTATTACAGACGTATGGTGGTCAAAGATCAAGGAGACTCAACAAAGGCAAACGTTATACTTTTAATAATACTTTGCATAATCGCAAACAAATTGCATGATAAATTTCCAAACACGAGAAAATTTTCCGCAGTGTCCCCGGTCATTTCGTTTTATAATCTCTCTGTCACCTGCCGTTGCAGTCCACTTTCTCATTGGCTACACATTGGATATTCAGTGATGTTCAGGCTCGTTTCATGTATTCCGCTCGTATACACGCCCGCTATTGTTCGCGCTTGCATATATACGCCGGGCCGTAAAACATTGGCGAGAGCGAGTGCCGTTCGCCTTCGAGCGAGCGGATTTACGCGGCGGCTCGCGCCTCGTCCGGGCTACCGGGCTGCAGAGAGTGGGCGAGGGACTCGATCTCCGCGAGAGCTCTCGGCGTAAAACACATGGCACGTACGTGTGCGCGTGTGTGCGTGGCGCCAGATGTCTCGCCTCGTAATCTTTACGCCGGCCGGTCGGTCGCGCGGTCCCCGTCGCCATCGCAGCATCGACCTTTCTCTCCCTCCGTCCCTCCCCTTCTACCTCGCTCCCTCTCCCGTATCCTTTTTATCGCTCTCGTAGCCGAGAGGTCTGCCTTTCGCGCGAAGAGACATTGGAACCGCGTATCGTGTTTCTACAGCCGCAACAATAACAGCGAGTTTATGCGCGACCGGTCGTTGCTGCCGACATCGGTAGCGGCGCCGGCGGAACCGGGCGACCGGTGAAAAATTATCCTGACCCTAAAACCTGGTGCGGCCAGGAGTCTCGAAGAACCTCCGACGGTTTGCCACGTTCTGTCGAGTTTTGGTGCGCGACGGGAGACCTCGCGTGCGCCATCTACATTTTTCTTAACATTCAGTCGTTTAAAAGGCTGACGAACAATTAGGGCGGCCCGTACACCGCGGGATTTGGACGGTCGTGTAATCGATCGATGTTTTTATCGCAGCAGCGGCGACAAAAAATGTGACGACATTTCTGGGACACCCAGTAGAATGCAGCGTAACGACTCAAAGGATACCGATTGCCAGAAAGCATGAAATTGCATTAGTCACCGCGTTTAACGTTCACATCTGGCCGTGGCGCGATGAAAATAACAGCTCGGGGCCTGGCGACAGCATTAACGCGCGCATGAAACGCGTGAATTATTATTTTGCTACCGATACACGAGTCTTGTGAAATTTTACGATTTACACATTTGCACCTGGCACGCTCGTTTGCACGTGGTAATGACCAGTCCGTTCGGTTGTTACTGATCTTCGCGCTGAGGAGCGTCTCACTTGGCAGTGATCGCAATATCGGCGCCGCATATTGACGGCAAATGTATTTGGCTTTTTTCTCGGCGAAAGTGATCGTCGAGATATTTTTTACGAAAGTTGATTTCTCCACCTCGCGACTTACACGCGCGTCAATTGCAAATCACAGTTCCCGCTATTTCGACGCTCCACGTAAAAACACCTGCTCTCTTTAATCGCAAAATATCAGTCCGATTGCAGCAGTTTTCGAAGCCACTCAAATGTTCACCATGCGACGACGGACCATTTAAATTTTACCACTGGACGTGATTCTCAAGGTCAAGTTGCATGAATGAACGAACTGCTACACGGAGGGAAAAGTGTAGCTGCCGTAGCTGAAAACACGCGGCAACTAAATTTCAGTTGTAAAATGGACAGCTAATATTTGGTTACGATAGCTAAATATTTTACCGCTGTGCTTACTGTAACCGTTTGCCGTAGTTTAGAAATTTATAGTTGTGGCAGCAAAATATTTTTAGCAAACCCATGATTGGCTACGGTAGCGAAATTTTTTTTTCAGTGCAGGAGCAAAACATCTCGTCGAGACACGACCCATATTTTATCTCAACTGACAATGACTCGCGGAATGACGATGTTCTCCTTCCAAGGAGAATCGGCTATTCGCGTCAATTCGCACAATCGGCGGGCGGATGCTCGCGGAGCTCAGGCGGCTTGGATAAAGAGATTACGAGATCGCGGCGGGTGCATCTGCCGCGCGTATCCCGCATCTGCGTTTCCCGGCCGATGTTGAGAACGGTAGATCGAGGGATGCCGTTCCGCGCGAACTGCACTCGAGTGTCCCATAAACGTCTCGTACCAATGACATGTGAATCACACAATCGCGGTAACAACGTTCGCGCGTAGGCACCGGCGAGAGGATATCGGGACGCAAAGTATCTGTCGCCCCGCCGGGATATCGGACTCGTAAATTTACATTTACGAGATATCCTTCCCGGAATCGATCGGGCCGCCGGCTACGAGGCCGTTTCGAAAGCGAAGATCGAGATCGCATGCCGCCGACGAAGATAACCGCCGATCTCCGTCCGCGCGCTAACGAGAAAACAGGACCATTAGGGCAATGAGCCGTGGGAGATAACTCGATTATCGATTATCACGCTTGATGGAGGAGCTGCGTGTCCTTGAAGGACTAAAAAGAAATAGTGCTTCCACATTTCATCTCGTTCGGATCTAAAGTGCCGAGTAGCAAGCGGGAAAAGGCGTTTAACGATTAATTCAACGAACGTAAAAGGATAACGAATCCAGACTGAGATCTCTTATAGATTTTGAAATTTAATTCCATCTGTTTAACGAGTAACGTTCAAACTACGATGTCACACGGGAGAAAATGTTCGTTTTACTTCGTTATTTTGCGGATCAAGTTGAATTTTGCATCTCTGTTCTTTACCGATGTCGAATCGCGCGATTCTTTTAACGTGCAGCATGGAAGATCAGCTTGAGACGCACAGAACGACCGTCCGAATGGCTGCCAGGCATCCGGTAGCATTGGTCGTCGCATTTATATGACGACGATAAACGCCTTCGCAAAGTCTCATTTTTTCGCTTCCTAAGTGCGCGTACCTGGCGGCTCTTTCCTCTCACCGGTGTCCTCGCCGTCGGGCCCGCTTCCAGGAACGATTCAGTGGGAGCGCCGCCGAGATTATCTCGTTTGCGCGAGATTTTCTCGCCGCAAACGCGGGGACCGACCGGCCGCGGGAGGACCGAGCTATCTTTCGGTGGATCGGCGGGCAACTTCGTGGCGAGCGTGGCGCAGAGAAATGTGCGCTGCTTAATAAACAAATGAACGAAAAGATCCGAGTTCAAGTCCACGGATACCACTGGTTTTTTTCGGAATCTTCCCGAAAGGAAGTGGTAACCACCGAGAGTATTCTGCCACACATATCCTTTTAGGGGTACAACCCTTCAGATTGAAGGTTTCCTTCGGCAAGGTTAGCAGCCTACCGAAGATGAAGTAAAACCAAAGTACCAGTTCGTTCTGTCCAAAAAATACACCAGGCCGATCGATATAGATAAAAGATTGATTTAATCCGCCTAATAGCCGTATCACACTAGCGGTTCGCGTTGGCGTTGCCGTTGGCGTTGCCGTTGGCTGCTGCGTCTCGACCAATCAGAGAATAGCAAAGTATTCTCTGATTGGTCGAGACGCAGCAGCCAACGGCAACGCCAACGGCAACGCCAACGCGAACCGCTAGTGTGATACGGCTATAACGCGAGGAAGAAGAAGAAGGCGAGCAACTTAACT